TTAGTAATGATGGGAATAAAGATGATGAAGTAGTTAAGATTGAATACCATAAAATACCAAAAGGAGCACACTTTCGATATCTTTGGTCAATAATCCAAGAAAATGGAGAGATCGATGAAGGTGTCACACATAGAATTAGAGCTAGATGATCAAAGTAGAGATGTGCAACTAGAGTTTTATATGATCGTCGTATATCAATGAAGTTGAAAGACAAGTTTTCTATAACAACTGTGGGACCAGTTTTGCTTTATGGGGTGAAATATTGGCAGTCCAGAAAGAATATATATCTATAGGATAAATGTAGCTGAGATGAGGATATTGAGATGGATGAGTGACAAGAAAAGAACGGATAAAACACGAAATAAATAAATTTGGGAGAACTTAGTTGTTGCTCCAATAAGTCAATAAGATAAAAGAAAGTAGACTTAGGTGGGTTGGCCATGTATAATGCATACTCAGTACAGTACCTATTAGTTGGTTATGAGTTAGCTCAAGTGGAAGGCTAAAAAAGAGCAAGGGGTAAGCCTAAAAAGACACGATTAGAAGTAGTGAGAAAATATATGGAGACTTGTGGCTTCACTAAGGGTATAACCCTTAATATAGTAAAATGGCGGATCATGATTCGTATAGCCGACCCCAATTAATTGGGAAAAGGCCTTGATGATGACAACAGGCATAAGCTCCAATGGAATGAACAATGCATTTTAAGTGAATGACAGAGACATTGAGTATAGCATTTTTAAAAGCCTTTGTAACAAATCAAGTAAAATAACGTTTTTAAGTCTTTTCTATAGCCAAATAATTACAACAAATTTAAAGTATAACTATGTATTAAATAACTATATGTAATATGTGATTTTAATTGAAATTATTGCATCATCAAAGGGTTTAATAGTGGTGGGTGTAGAAATTAAAATAATAATAATAATAACAAAAAACAAAAAAACAAAAACCAAAAAAAAAGTAAAGCCCTCAATTTCATAAACAAATTGAAAGCTCTAATTACAAAAAAAAAAATAAACAAAAGTTTTTTTTTCTTTTTTTTGCATAAACCCCTAAAGACTTGAAAAGTGAAGCCCTTAATTTCAAAAAGTTTTAGAAATGTTGGTTTTCTATATAGATGTCTTACTTTACAATGAGAAAAATATGTACAAACCCTAAAAGAGAACATAATGACTCAAATTTTTTTTGTTGAATTTTAAGGTTTGCTAATTAGCATGTGGATGAAAAATTTTAAAGTGAATTCCTCAATTAAAGAACGGTGCAGTTGGCATACGGATGCATCCGTAGCTGTAGACGTAAGGTGCACCCTTAACTTTCATCATGGTATATAATTTTGATGTAAAATATTCTTAGGATTATCTCAAAATCTATTTTTATATCTAATTATAAAATTTTAAATTTAAAAAATGGTTAAAATCAAGTAGATCTATAAACATATGAAAATCTTGAAAATGGACAGTGTAGATAATATGTTGCACTATTTCTGAGAATTAAAATCTTTTTATTTTTCATGGTCATACATCTTGATGTCGAGATGATCAATCAAAGGGTTTTTCAATATTAAAACTAACATTTTCAATGGATATTTAAGGGGCATCGGTAGTTATTTGCATCCTTATATTAACTTTTTCTATTAAAGAAAAGTAACGAGTATGTAAATTTCACCAACCTTATAGAATATAAAATAGGGCACGGTTGAGACGGAATAACGAAAGTCTTTGGTTGTTCTTTTATTTTAACCTGAAGATGCAACAATTAATAAAATAAAATAAAACAAGTAATGATTTAGCGTCCCCAACATCTTTGAATTTTGAAAATTCAATATTATTTGAAAATTAAAATTTAAGATTTCAAAAATCTGAAAATTGCAACAAAACAAGCATCCAAATAATTTTATTTACCAAAAGAAAGTGTCACAACAATTTTGAATTTTGAAAATTTGAAATTTGTTTGAAAATTACATTTTTGGATTTTAAAAATTTCAAATATTGCAAAAAAAAAAAGTGTCCCAAGAATTATATTTACCCAAAAAAAAGGTGTCCCGACAATTTGGATTTTTAAAATCCAAATTTTATCGGAAAAATAAATTTTCAGATTTTAAAAATTCAAAAATTGCATTTTTCACATCCCAACAATTCAGATTTTGAAAATCCAAAATTTATTTGAAAATTAAATTTTTTGGATTTTAAATTGCATTTTAGCATCCCTAAACATTTTTGGATTTCAAAAATTAGAAATTTATTTAAAAAATAAATTTTAAGTTTTTCAGAATGTGAAATTTTTATTTTCTTGCCGGATGTTGTATTTTAATTAAATTTGAATATTAAAAAAATCTTGTGAAGGAAATTAAATAAAAAGAGCTCAACCACCCTTTCAAGATGTGAAAATCTGCAATTGGGATCAATTTAGAGGGACAGCGGATGAGCGAAATTGATTGAAAGAGAGAGAAATAAGAAGCCTTGCGCAGGTATGGGTTTTACACGGTAGTCATCCTTACTAAATAGAGTGCACTTTTATTATGGGGTACAATACTAACGTCATTACATGCTCCACCAACGCTTTATTGTGCATCCAAACGTGGACTGCACTATAAATTTATTTAAATTTGGATATTAAAAATCTAAAAATCTGGTAAAAATAATTAAAAAAAGAAAGCCTGCAAAATAATTTATAACTCTTCAAGATTTGAAAGTCCGCAATTTAGATCTTGAAGTTTTGAAAAAGTTTATTGACTCTTGGATCTTGGAGATCCGAAACATGGGTAATTTCATAATACCAAAAAAATGAGTATAGATATAACAATGGTAGATTGCGAGTAAATTTTAAATAAAATAGATATTAACATATTTTTTCCAAATTTTACAATTAATTTGAACCATCTCCCACAGTTGAGAGAGATCTTACATGGTAGTGATATATTGAACGAGTCTACACTAAAGACCACCATATAAAAGAATATAAATATAACTCCTTACTTTTCCAAAAACAGAAATACATATGTTTCGGTATTTGCTAAGCCTGCGAATAAAAATAAGTCTCTCTTAAACATAATTATCATAACAAGGGTTAGCTTTTCAAGATTCACTTAGATGCTCTTTGGTTTTTCCTTTAAAATGGCGCTCATTTCTCACACCTGAGATATTCATGAACATAGGGCCAACCCCATCATCGCTTTCAAATTTCAAAAAGGATTTTGGTTTAGTCGCCCTTTATTTATTTGTTTATGAGAAAGTGCGGTCCAGACAGACTGACACAAACAGCATTAAATTAAACCTTAGTGGATGGTGGGGACGCATCCTTCATCTTTATCCAAAGGGATAATAATTCACTTAATTGTCTCCTTCTTCTGGGAGTGGGTCACACCTTCAAAATTTTGGCTTTTTTCAAATTAAAATAAATATATATATATATATATATATAATTTTTATTGATCTACCTATGAAAAACCGTCTCTCCCAAACTAAATAATTGCTTTGCGTGCGAGAAAGAACAACAAATAAATATATATATATAAATGTATGCGAAAAAGAACAACAAATAAATAAATATATATATATATTTAAAAATATATATATATTTTAATAAATTTAAAATTTAAAAAAAAATTAATTTAAATTTATTTTTTAATCTAAACAAATATAAAAAAAACGTAATTCTTTTTAAATCCAATCCCTTCTCTCTTCATTTATATTTTTTAAACTTCCCTCTTTCTCTCTCTCACTGTATCTTTCACTCTCTCTCCTCTCTTTAAAAAAATGCATAGTTTTAGTATTTCAAAATATCACCACCCGTAACTTACCCAAACACGTTCTTTCTATCTAGAAATTCTCTCTCTCTAAAAATTCACTCTCTTGAATCGCCATTACAAAATGGGTTTTACCATCATTGGTCACAAATTCTCTCTCTTCTCTTTCTCTCTCTCACTATATAAGGTTTTACTGTTATTCTCTTTTTTTACACCATTTTCAAAGTCTTTTTTGACGATTTTTTATCACCTCTGTGTGTGTTTTAAAGGGCTTAATTCCTCGTTTTGCACAGTAAGAGTATGCTTGCTTTACTTTTTTATTTTACTTCTAGTTTACATAGTACGGATTCTTGGTTTTGGGATTTATATTGAGAATAGATTCTTATTTTTTATAGTATTTTTCGTTTTCAGTTTCACTTATTTTCCTCTCTATCTGCATTCTCTTTCTGTCCCCGTATATTTACTGGGTATTTGAAAGGAGAGAGAGTGAGATCAGAGAGATGAAAAATATGAAAAGAGATGGGAAATATGGAGAGTATTAACATATTTTCCCACAAAAAAATACATTGTACCTCTCAAATTAAAGAATTGGTTTGTGCGCGTGAAATAACAAATTCTTTGGATGCAAAGGGCGTGATAAGCGAGGTTAAAGGTCCGTGTGTATAGATACGAGATTCTAAACAATCAAAGTAAAATCCACATTAAATGTTGTCGAGAAATGCGTTTTTAATATTGAAAACCTTTGTGATAGTTTTAAAATATATTTTCAACTTAAATTATAAATTTCAAGCTTAAAAAATAGTAGAGCAAAACTATGAAAATTTGAAAATTTTGAAAATTGACCATCCTAAAATGTACTATAAGATGCACTATTTTCAAATTTTGAAATTCATTTTTCTCATGTCTATATACTTTGATATTGAGATGATCAATTTGAAAATATTTGAGCACCAAAACGACCTCTCGTGAAATTTGTGAGGTGCACGCACTCTAATTTGATTGTTTAAAGCCTCGGCTCTAAATAAACTTTTTCCGAGCTTAAAAAGACAAAGCGGCGGAGCGGTAGCAGATAGGGATGAGAGAGAGATAGGTCAGCGAGCGTAGCCAAATAGGTGAGGCACTCATAGACACGTGGGTTACAGTCATCGTGTGGACGATTGTCACCTTCTGTAAGGCCTCCCACCATTCTGCCACCGCACCTGTGAACTTACAAATTCTTAATAATCCTATTATTTAATCATCAGATAGTGTCAATCCATGTCCCACCCACTTTCTTCTATCCTGTTACTCTCGATAGGAACGAAGCTAGAGAGAGAGAGAGGCTTCTACTTTAATCCTCTTCTTACACTTAAATTAAACAAGAAAGAGAGGGAGAGAGCTTTTTCTCTTTAAATTGGAACGACCCCACACTGAAATTAACCAAGATTTGCAGCATTCTGCTTCCCCTATACTGCATATTTTGGATCCTAGACAGATGGGTTCTCTAATGGCAGGATGGGGTTCTCCCACCAAAGATCCTAAACACGGTAACTTACTACTACTTTCTTAGTACTTAAACTTCCATGGTTTATTGTTTTGTATGGTATCTATTTATTATTTTTCGTGACTGGTTTTTTGACAGCAATCTACCAAAGAAATAAATCTTTCACCAAAGAAGAGATAGAGAGTTTCTGGAAGTCGAAAAAAAGAATCGAAGAAGAACATCTCAGATCCATATCCAGTTTATCACCCAACTCTGAGGTTTGAAATCATCCAATCCTTTATATTCATGACCTTTCTCCATTTACGTCGAGTGGATTTAATTACTGAGTTTTTTTTTTTTTTTTCTTTCTGATGGGTTGATTTCTGGTTGCTCCACAGAAGGATGAATCCAAGAGTGAGAGACAAGTGCTCGAGAGGAGCAAGAGTTTTCCTGTCACTAGCTCCTCATCTGATCTAGAAAAACTCAGACTTGCTAGTGACTGGTAAGTAAACCGCTAAATTGGTCAATTAAATCAATAAGTTCTAAAGATTATTGCTGATTCATCATGCCTAAGTTCCTCATGAAAAAGGATTAGCATCTCATTTACCCCCAAAAAAAAAAAAGGAAGATTATTATCTCTCTCCCAGAATAACTAGTGTTATGAGACCGGGATATGGTGGGTGGATCAGAGTTACCAGGAGCACCCAACTAGGGTGGCGCTCCCGCTCCAGAACCCAGCTCTCTGACTGAGCCGGGATCTCAAACTCGTTCTCTACTTTTTGGGAGCTCGCTCCTATTTTTAAAATTATCGATCCTGTTCGGGATGCACTCCCGATACTGCACGGATCTTAGATCCCCACTCTCAGAGTTTTAGGAGCACAATCCCTACATTTTCGGAACATTTCTGGAACTCCATCTCTGTTTTCCGAAACATCCTAAAAGAAACTTCTTAAATAAAATTAATTTTTCAAATAAAATAATTATATTTTGAACCCAATTTTCATAAAGGTGGAGTTATGCAGTGGGAGCGATGCGCAGAACACGATCCTCGATCCTTTTCGAATAGGAACACCATCATTCTTAGATGGGGCGTAATCATGTTGCTAATGGGAACACGATTCTAATGAATATGTATGGAAACACTGACATGACATGGAAAGCGTTCCCGTTGAATGGGGGTTTTGATCCCGTTGTTTTGGGAACGTGTTCCTATTCGTACATGATCTCGATCCGCTACTTACTTGCTCTTCAAGCTTCTTGGGCAGACATGGCTCCAACGCTCCCGTTAATTATGGGGTGGATCAGTCACTGGAGTAATGCATCCAAATTGTCAAGCTAGATCTGACAAATTCTTTGGGGCGGAAATCGTTAAAACAAATTGAAATATACATTTGAAAAAATGAAATAATAATAATAAAAAAAAATGAGTAGATGATGAGGCGATTCAGATTAGCTGAATTGGTTCTTAGAGAAACAGGCAAGTCTACCAAAACCGCACTGTGCCAAGAGCTCAGTTAGTCCCACAGCGTTTAAATTTCATTCGTTGAGAATGTTTATTGCTCTCTTTGCGAACAATTATTGTTGCTGCGAATTATCATTTGATCTTTTGGCAAGAGTTGTTCGGCTTTCTGTGAGGAGACTAAAAGTCAAAATTGTTGGCAAGAATTACTGATTTTGTGTGTAAAAATGTAGGCTGTCTGTCACTCTAGGCAGCAATGGACGGGGTTTATTTTCTTCAACATTCTTACCTTCATTTGTTTTTAGTTGAAGTTTATTTACTCATTTTTCTTAAAATCGATTTCCTGCAGGTGGACAAGAAGCAACTGGGCTTTCTTGAATGAGCCTCCTGTAACAGCCATGGAAGGCCCTTCCTACAAGTACGCAGCACAATATCATTTGACAGAGTTAGGATCCCATGGCGCGAACACTAACTCAATGTTCGACACCTCCAAACCAGATTTGCAACCAGGAATAAGCACCTGATAACCTTCTCTTTTTCAAATATCCTGATATGGTACTTGTTCAAAAGTATAGCAAGTGTGTATATGTAAGGTGTGAATCGGGGTGGGTCATGTAGATATGAGGTTCTTAGCGCTTAAGTCTCTTTCCAATTAGAGTTGAAGATGTAAGTTGGAGTGCTAATTGTGGTACCAGTGCTTTGTATGTAAGCGTGGTTTTGCTCATATAAATATGAGGCTCTATCATTAGGTTCTCTCTTTCTAGCTGGATTGTTGAGTTGGAGATATCAGTGTTCAAAAAGAACGAATCGGACCAACTAGTTTGACCGATTTTTGATTAAATCCCCACATTAGTGCCCCCATTTTTTCAATCTCAATTTGGGTAATGAATCTCAAAAAAAAAGTTTTAAAATTTACATGTATTGTTTTTTTATATTGTCACGTAAAAAAGCAAATCAAAAAATATTATAGACATAATTAAGTTTCGGAGAGAATTTTTGGGCACATTAGTGAATTAGTAATCGTAGGAGATACATAATATTGTACAATAGTAAAAATATTATTAAAAAATAGTAAAAACCATGGCATTCATGATTTTCTTGAATTTTATTATTAGGGTTGACAGGCATAAAAATCGTAGCCAACAGAATGAGTGAGTGAGAGAGAGATTGATTGGGGCAGTCCGTTGCTTTCAAAGAGAGAAAAAGAGAGATGTTGGGCAAGCTTGCGTCAACAGTTGTATAGATGGAGAGAGTTAGTTAGAGAGAGTGGGAGAAGATAAGCCCATAGGGAGAGAAGGTGGGGGAGATCCCCCTGACCCAACCTATCTCTATACTGCCCCAACAGTTAAAAAGTGTGAGAGAGAGGTTGGGCAGTCCTCTGCCCTCTGCAAAGAGAAAAAAAGAGATGGTTGGGGCAGGCATGTCCCAACTGATAGAGAACTCAACAAAGAGAGAAAAAATAGTACCCTATGAAGAGTGAAAGGTTGATGCAGGCCCAAGCCCAAGCCCCTGCCCCAACAGTTAGAGAGGTGAGAGAAAGGGAGGGAGAGAAGTGAACGAGACGTTGGGGCAGTCCCTGACCCAACAATTCTAGGGAAGAGTGTGTATAAGAGATAGGGCTGATGTTGGCATATTCACTTCGGAGTTTTTTTCAATTTAGTGAGAAAAATAAATCAATTTGGTGTTCTAGCTGAATTAGGGGAAGATTTCAGATTTTTTTTAAATTTAGAATAAATAAATTAGATATTTATATATATAATATATAAATAATAAAAAACAAAATATAAAAGTTATATTGATATTTATATAGCTATTTCTTTGTTGGCCGAAGCAGACACAAAGCGGTCTGAATTTCATCGAAGCAGCCCGAAACAGTCCGAATCTGACCTAAGCGCCAACACCATTTGCTCGAAGCAACCCGAAACGGTTCGAATCTAACCGAAACACTAGCACCAAGCTTCACTTACGCTTAGTTTATGCCTAAAACTTGAAAGCTTCGGCATCTTCGACCGAAGCGAAGCGAATTTGATAACATTGATTGGGACAAGCATGCCCCAATAGTTAGAGAGAGAAAGAAAGAAAGCCCAAAAGGAGTGAGCATGAAAGAGGTTGAGGCAATCCCTACGCCCAACAATTAGAGAGGGGGAGAGAGAGAGAGGTTGGGGCAATCCCTTATCCCAACAGTTTCAAAGAGAGAGAAACATTGGGATAGGTCTACCCCAACAGTTAGAGAGAGAAAAAGAAAGAGAACCCAACAGATAGAGAATGAGAGAGAAAAAGAGAACCCAACATAGAGAGAGTGAGAGAGGTTGGGGCAATCCCCTACCCTAAAAATTAGAGAGAAGTGAGAGGGAAAGAGGTTGGGGCAGTCTCCTACCCCCAATAGTTCCCAAGACACAGAATTAGAGAAAGAGAGAGAAATGTTGGGGCAAGCCTGCCCCAACAGTTAGAGAGATTGGGTACTCTCTACCCCAAAAATTAGAGAGAAAGAGGGAGAGAGAGTGAGAGAGACGATGAGGCAGGCATTCACTGAGAGTGAGAGTTTAGGGCAGTTACCTGCCCCAACCAACAGATAGAGAGAGAGAGAGAGAGAGTGAGAGAGGGAGAGAGAAAAATTCCTAATGTTGTTTCTCGACCGGTGTTGAAAAGTGTGAACCATAACAATGCAAAAATCGGGCAATTTTTACAACAAATTGTCGATTAGTGCAATAATCGGCCTATTTGTGTCGATTAGTACCGATTAGTATCAATTAGTAGAATATATCGGTCTATTAGTACACTGAAAAAAATTTAGAATACATGACCATTGAGATCGGGCCAGTGACCAATCCCGATTTAGTCGGCCAATTTTTGAAAGATCAACCAATCTTTTGAACATTGGGAGATATACGCTTGACCATAGTGAGCATGCGTCTCATTAAAATCTTGTGTTTTAAAAAAGACCATGAAGTTTTGAAGTCCGTTGAGAACATCAAGTTTTTTAAAAGATCTTTCAAAAAAAATTTAGTTTTTTAATGGAACCAATATAATGGAATACTTTTATTTTATTTTTTGAAAAATACTTTCAGAAATACTTCTCTAGAACTTTATTTTATTGTCATTGTCATTTTAATATCATCTAATACATAATTATTCCCCGACTTGCTAACTATGGGCTTGAGTTCGAGTGTTAATTGTACAAGTAGAATAGGCCATATAAACTCCCCCCTGGTGTGTGAACTTCCGAAGTTGAACCTGAATTTCTCAATTTTGAACCTCAGTAAAGTCATGTGGAACCTGAATTTCTCAATTTTGATTCAGAGCTGGGAACGTATTCGGTGTGCAAGCATTAATTGGGTCCCGTAAGTTTCTCCCTCTGGTAATGTATTCGGTGTGCAAGCCTTAATTGGAAGTTTTCTCTCTCTCTCCAAGTAAAATGAGGAGAGGACGGTTTTTCTTTTTCGATTTTTTCTGTTGAAAAGGAAAAAGTTTATATAGAGCCGAAGCTCTAAACAATCAAATCAGAGCCTACCTTGAAAATTTCAGTGAGATTGTTTTGATGTTCAAATATCCTCAAATTGATCTTCTCGACATCAAGATGCATGGACTATGAGAAAAAAAATAGATTTCAAGTTTTGGAAATAATGCATTTTGAAATACATTTTTTACCGTCAATTTTCATGATTTTCAAGATTTTATAGATCTATCGATCTGCATTATTTTTGAAGCTTTAAACTTTATAAATACAGATGAAAATATATTCCGAAGCTATCACAAAGATTTCCAGTGTCATTTCTCGATACTATTTCAAGATAGGCTCTAATTTGATTGTTTAGAGCCTAGGCTCTATACAAACCGCACCCTTTTTTAAATGGACATAAAACTGCCAGTAAACTTACCACAATGCCGATTGCGGTGTTAAACAATCATATAGTTATTAAAAACATGAGTAGCTGAAATCCTCGTCAACAAAGAAGACCAACGTAATAAGAACAACACCAGATTCACCATAGCTTATATATTGTTTACAAAAACAGATTAATGGGGTGGATCGTCCATTCCTGATCTCGAATATGATCGATTGTAGATCGGTGATCCAGATCTATTGGATCATGTGGATTATCGATTTAATAAAATATATTTTAAGAAAAATAAAACTAAAATAGTAATATTAGTTACTATAACTTGCCTATTTCAAATCACCTAGCGTGTAGAGCCTCTTGGGGGAGCAATTTGTGACTTATATCCAATGTCCAGTTTCGATTCATGTAGGTGAACATCTTTTGAACCTCATGGAAAAGATATTTTGAAGGTTAAATTATGAACCTCAAAAAATGAGTTCTTACAAACACAAGAGGCTTGAGTTGAGCTTCAAACTACTGATGTTGTACTAAATGTTGGGGAGAGTTCCTACAAATATGAGGCTTCGGTAGAACTTCAATCTACTGATGTTGTACTAAATGTTTGTCCCACTACCACGGCAGACAATAGAAGGTATCTTATATTTTATATATCCTATAAAAATCATCGATGATTCTCAATCACATTCGCATTGGCGATTTTTCAAACTGTTTTAGTAGTCACCACAAAATAATAAAAGCCCTCAGAAAAAAATGGTGCTTGAAAAGTCATCAGTCAGATTAATATTACCCAATCCGAAAAGGAACTTGTGTGTCACCCGTTCCAGGTGGCCTACAAGCCTAGGACTGGTGAATGCGCATGAACGCCCCGATATGCGCATTCACCTTGCTCGTTGTGAACCAGACGATTTTCACCAAAAATCATACACAAGTCCTGATTTTTTAACCATTTTCTTGATAATTGCCCGGTTTTCCTTTGCTCACATAATCATCCTCACGAATCAAAACGGAGGAAGACAGTAAGTAAAAGCAAGTATGTAAGTAAACATAAAACCTGTAATGGCTTCATGATCAAATTTTTCTTTACATTTCCAATTTCCAATTCCAAATTAGAAACAAAATGGAAACTAAAATTAGGATCATAGCATGGAAAATGCAAGCTTTTTATTCTTCATCAGTTTAGTTGGAAGATTTATTTACTTGGAAGAAAAAACGAAACAAAAACTATAACGAAGAAGAAGAAGAACTGAGGAGAAAAGCTGAAGACTCAAAACCATTTTAGGGCAGGGCAACATGAAGAGCCTCCTGTTACTATACATCCTCCAAAATTTAATGGGAAGTTTGCTTTAATGGCCATGGAACCTCGATCCCTAAAACATGAGAGAAAGCAGAGAATGCATGGGCCAGCGGAGTCAAACGGGGAAGTAAGGGTGGACCCAGGCCTTTTAGAGTGGAACTTTTCTGGCTAGAAGATAATGAGACGGTTGAGATTGTTAAGCGTACTTGGGAGACTACTATGGTCATTGGTTGGGCTGGTTTTAGGATGCATAGAAAGCAGTTGAATGTTAAACATAAACTCTTGGAGTGGAAGAAGAACAGTGGTTTCTATGTTAAGGATAAATTTGATAACATTATGCTTCACATTCAACAGATAGACCAGGAGATTCAGCAGAGTAGGATTGTGAAAGAACAACAACAAAATGAGAGGAGAGCCGCAAGCCAAGTTGCATGAATCCTAAGATTAAATGAATAGATTGGTGACAAAGATTCCGTGTGAAATGGCTAAAGGAAGGTGATCGAAACACAAAGTATTTCCACTCGATTGCTAATGCACGCCGCCGTCAAAATCATCCTCCTGGTGTTGTTTTTCAAGGTATAGACAATAGTAGTCTTGATGGTTGGGAGAATGAATTTGTTAGACATTTTCAGAATGTCTTCATCTCAGAGCAAAAGTTTCGAGTTAATATGATTGAAATTCCATTTAATAGGCTACCATAGCATTATGCATCTTTTCTAGAGGCAAAGAGCCTTTGAGAAACTGGGAGTATTAAGGTAAGCTTCGGAATAGGGTTATTATGAGTTAGAAATTCGAAATAGGGTCAGATTCATTGTGGTAAGGAGATTAGCATATAGGTCTGCTAGGATCATTGAAACTTAGGTGAATGCTTGGTAAAGTGGTTACGAATTAGAGAGTTCAATAACTATGCATGTCATGATAAATCAAGTATCAAAAAAACCCATATTTTGTTGCAACTTTGATACAGAATACTAAGGCAGAAACTATATGCTAGGAATTAGTTAGGCATGAGTTAGAGGATACTTGGGCGGAAAATAGGTTTTGAGAATGGAAGGCATCATAAACGTTGGAAGTTTCATGAAACAGATCTTTGATGTCCATTCCTTCTAAATTACAGAGAAGACTAGCATCCCCTGCTAACGGATGATGCACAAATCGAGAAATGGCCCAACGTTTTCCTTTTTTCTACCAAGTAAAACTTGTAATATGATTGAGAGGTTGCAAGGAAACTTTTTGTGGGCAGGGCTAGTGGAGCAAAAAGGTCTAGACCTTCTCAAATGGAAGACAATATGCCTCACCCTCAAGAAGGTGGTTTGGGAGTCCATCATGTTGTTGATTTTAGCCTGGCAGGCTTGATGAAACTGGTATGGAGAGTCATCTGATCCTTCATCTCCTATAGCTCGCTTTTTCAGACAACACAGGTATTTTGGAAGTTCTTCTATATGGCTTGTTAGATATAGTACTTGCTCGCATTCATGAAAAGCCACTATGAGGGGCACAAACAGACTGAAGCATCATGTAAGATCGATTTTTTGAATGGGAAACTAATGAATTTCTGGGTTGACCCCTGGCTCTCTGAAAGGTCTATGTGGGAATTGTTTGCCACAAACATCCACAGGGTTCTTGACCATTCTAAGACTAGGACGGCAGACTTCTTAGAAGGTTCTCTTCAATCTTGCACCCTGCCTGACCTTACCTCTGGTCTCCTTATTCAAGCTTCTTACCCCCTTATCCGTGTCTGGGAAAAGGTTAGATCTTATATTCTTCTTATGCACCCAACTGAAGATTCATTGGTTTGGACTCACTCTTCTGATGGGGGTCAAAGGTGCCTCGGATCATATTAGACACGGGGAGACTCCACCACACATCTTTAAAGGTCTTTGGTCCTTTCCTTCTCATCTGAGAGCCAAGTGGTTTTCCTAGCTCTCTTTTCATCACAGTCTCCCCACCATGTCCCTTCTACAATCCAATGGGTTTACATTGTTCTCTGTATGCCCCTTTGCCTCCAAGCAAAGGAGAGTACTAAACATGTATTATTTCAGTGTGCTTTGTCACCGGCCCTATAGAGATCCTTGGCATGACGCTATGGCAAGCTAATAATGCCAGACCATTCAGCCCCTCTAATGTGTGCTAAGTGGATAAATATCATTTCAAATCTGCCGGCATGAAAGGTGTGTGGATTTCTCTTTTTACCACCACTATTTGGCTCTTATTGTCGAAACAGAATAGGTGTATCCATGAAGGAAAATCATCCAGGCAGGAGTCCTTAATCTGATTGTTCTACATGTGAGAGATCTAGCAGTTGGCAGACATGGACTTCCATACTTCCGAAAAAAGCCGATGTTCAAAGCCTCAAGATCCCATGGCATGCACAAAGGCCCACTCCTCTGCTTTGAATCTCGTGGTCCGCTCACCCATCTAGCACCTTCAAGCTCAACATTGATGGGGCTTCATTTCATAACCTCGGGATCGCGGGCAGTGGTGGTATTCTCAAAGATGACAAGGGCAGTTCATAGCCTCACTTGCTAAGCCCCACGGTACCGCTTCCAACAATGTTGCGGACTTTAAAGCTCTGGAAATTGGTATTAGATTGGCCATTCAGGTTTGATGCATCCCTTTGTACATCGAGAGTGACTCTCAGATCCTCGTCAATTCTATTTGTGGCCGACACAAACCCCATGGATACTTCGCACCCTCGCCTCTAACCCCTGGTCCCGACTATTCCATTTCGTTGTATCTTGATCTATGTCTATTAACTAGACATAAAACAATTTTTGAGCTACCACCCTTTTTTGTAATCGTGGATTTTTTTAATAGAGCACCCATTCCTGGGATGCCAAAACTATAGTAATTTTGTGTACTCTCTTAATACAAACGTTAACAGCCTCATACAAGAATAATAATAATATTAATGTCTACAATGGTATTGCATACCATGACTCCTTACCAGTCTTTCCAATAATTTCTTATCCATGGTCCACATGCCTCTCTCTCTCTCTCTCTCTCAAGCATGAATGCATACAGGACCTAACATTCTTTTGCACACTCTATGTAGCCGTGACTCTCTATGCGGCCTCATTATGGTCTTGTTTGATCCAATTCATAATAATACTCCAAAGTTTACAAAGGGGCATCAATAAATAATCTAAATTCAAATTCAAATTCAAGTACTGGTTATATTTAATCATACTTTACCATATCCGAACAGACTTCGGCTGCAATGTATCAAACAAAAGCCATAAAAAAAATTTCCTTATTTTAAAAAAATGAGGCAGAAGATTGATGCTTGGGCCTCAGCCTGTGCCCCTAATAGATTTATAGGCCAGGCCAGGGTCCAACCCAGATTTGGGCTTTCATTATTTGGTGAGCCTCGGTTTAGTCAACCAAAATCCAGCCCAACGATATTGCCAAATCTCCAAAAATGCAGAGCTAAAATCCCATATAGATGAAGTTCCTAACACTGGGACACCGAAGTGCATTCATTCAAAAAGCTTTCAAGCTCAGCAGCATAAACATAAGGAAAGGTCCTAAAGTGATCTACATGGGGTGATGAACCAAAATTACATCCCCTTACCTGTTTCCCAAGTCTCTTTTGCTCCTCCATGAACGACCCCACTGATTCAACTGGAATGACGCTATCAGCGGTACTATACAAGTAGAGCTGAGGGCAAGATGGTTGACAGTTTGAAAGAACTGAAATGATCTTGGTTAATCTCCTGTAGAGACAAAAGAGAATCAGATCTATTAAGGCTATTTGCATACATGATTTTGTTAGCGAGTTTACTCCCTAATATACCCAAAAAAATGGCTTCTTTGATTGAGCCCCCCTCCACTATCCTGCCTTCAGAATCATTTTTCCCAGCCCATTCAATCAATTAGTAACTCACCCTCTTGCTCACTCCATGGTGTACAAAGATGCGACCCTTGCTTTTTCCACTGGTTGAAATAGTTTAAGAAACCAAATATATATCTGAGTTTTTGGCAACTTAAACAGGAAAGTTTTGATTCTTGAGTCTTTTAAACTTTTCAAAAGAGCTTCTCTGCCTTTTCTTGAAAACCAAGGCTTTAAAATTCGGCGAATCAGATCGGAATCGGTCAATCCGAATAGGGAATCGGTCGGGCCAATCTGGATCCCGATAAATATCGGGAACCGGCCGGGTCACTCTACGGGCCGGCCAGTTCCCACCGGTTCTCTAACAAAACCAGCCGGTCAGGAGAACCGGCGACTCAGTCCTGAATCGGTTGAACAATATATCATTCTTTTGTTAGCAAAGACAAACCCAACATCTTTTACTGTGGCCCCACCCCCTTGGGCAGCCACATCATAAACTCGCATCTTTAAGCCTTTTACACTTGACACCTCAATGCCCTCAAGTCCTCAATACCTTTTTAATAGCCCCACCCCACCTCATTACTCTTGAACTTGCCCAATGTGGGACTAACCAAGACTTCCCTACATTTAGACATCGAGTTCTAATAAAATATTATCTCCAATGCTTTCTACTATGTTCGTGAAACATTATAGAAATTTCAAAAAGGGTAAGCTCAAGTCATCGGTCATCCACAAGTTTCTATTGATAGAAGAATACAAATGCAGAAGCTATCGCGAAGAAATGCAGAAGCTATCGCGAAGCAGTGTGAAAAAATAGGCATAACATGCAAAAGAAATATGTTAAGGTACAAAGTCGATGACTAGTATAGTATTATTTAGAATTACTGCTTTTACTTGTGGATAAAAAAAATAAACTTTTACTTATTGTAACTCATGGTATATAGGTGAAGGTTTTTATGAGGTGCTCTTCTTATACTATAGAAATAAGGTGCATCTCTAAATTTTGCCTATAGATGTAGTTCCGGTATTCAAAACTCCATATCAGCTTGAAAATTTATTTTCAATCCTAGTCATGAAATTTAAAATCCCAAAATTCCAAAATGGTACAGCTTAAACAGATTTATAAATGCTTGAAGACCTTGAAAAACCATCGTCTCTCTCTCTCTCTCTCTCTCTCTCTCTCTCTCTCTCTCTCTCTCTCTCTACTCTCTACTACTACTACTACGTACTACGTACTACGTACGTACGTACTACGTACGTACGTACGTACGTAACGTACGTACGTACGTAA